ACCAAAAGAGCACCCTTGGGGATCTTCGCTCCGAGCTCGGAGTAGCGCGAGGTGTTCTTCAGGAAATCGACGACCTCCACCAACTCTTGTTTGGCACCATCGCAGCCAGCCACGTCTGCGAACTTGACCTTCGTGTCCCCATCCTTGATGATTCTGGCCTTGGACTTGCCAAGCTCGAAAGGGTTCCCTCCCGGGCCACCGGGTCCGGCTGGCCCTCCCATGCCGGCTCCTCCGAAGAGGAAGAGCAGACCTGCGATGAGCCAAGCGATGGGACCCGCGAAGCGTGCGAGAAAGTCCAGAGGCCCGCCAGAGTTAGCTCCAGGAGTTTGCATCACCACATCCACCTTCTTCTGCGCGAGAGTGTTGAACAACTGATCCTCCGGCGTGATTCAAGCTGATTCAAGTGATGACCACAGGGTTCCGATCCTCCGGCTTGGGTTGGCTTCCTCATTTTTTGTTCAGTTGTTCTTTGTATTGTTTTTCCGTTTCGTGTCTGGGGTCATAGAAATACGAACACGAATACTAAAGCTACTATATAATACTAATACGAATACGAACACTAATACTAAAACGAACACGAATACTGATACGAAGACGAAGACGAATGCGAATACTAATGCAAATGCCAATGCTAATGCTAATGCTACTACTAGTAATAATACTATTACTAATAATACTAATACTCATCCTCATACTCATACTCATACGAATACAAACTACTACCGATACTAATGCTGCTACTACTACTAATAATAATAATAATACATAGTAAAAGTCGTAGTAATAGTCATAGTCAGAGTGATTGGTAATAGTAATAGTACAAGCAATATTAGTACTGGTAATAGTTACTAATAATACTAGTACTAGTGCTAGTACTCGAACTAAAGACTAGCAATCTTTCCTTCCTTTCTCCTTCCTTGCTTTCTTGCTTGCGTGCTTGCTTGCTTGCAGCGCAGCAAGGAAAATACAAAATCTAACGTAAACCAATAGCAAAAAATACCACCACCCTGGTCCTCAATCTGCGCGTTGGGGATCAAGTTCACCTCTTTGCGAGCACCATCCTTAGTGGTGTACTGCGCGGAGAGCTGATCGTCCTGGACGCGCACCATCTCGACATCCCCACGGTTGACGGACTCCATGAAATCGGAGTAATTGACTACATCCGCTGCAAAGGCAGGCTGCAGGGTAACGCTGAAGGTCAGCAGCAGCGACGCTGCAGCGCCGGCTGCCCATTTCAGCTGCTTGTCGGCACTGCTGACCAGCGCCTCATTGGCGCCTTGTACTACCTCTTCGAAGGCCCTGGCTGCAGGGGC